TTTTGTAGGAAAACACAAAGCGCACTCGGGTGCGGTATGCGAGGTGCAAGGGAAAACGTCTGGTTCTTCGTGGAATGCTCATCAGCCTCACAAAGGTTAGCGACTTCTGCGCCTAGCAGTTAGCGAGTTTTGCAATAGGGCGGGTGATGTGTTCACTTTTGTAGGAAAACACAAATCGCACCCGGGTGCGGTATGGGAGGGTTCAAGGGAAAGGTCTGGTTCTTTGTGGAATGCACATCAGACCTCACCGGGGGTAGCGACTTCTGCGCCTAGCGCTTAGCGAGTTTTGCAATAGGGCGGGTGATGTGTTCACTTTTGTAGGAAAACACAAAGCACACTCGAGTGCGGTATGGGAGGATTCAAGGGAAAGGGTCTGGCTGTTCGTGGAATGCACATCAGCCCTCAAAAGGGTTAGCGACTTCTGCGGCGTTTAGCGAGTTTTGCATGTAGGGCGGGTAATTTGTTCACTTTTGTAGGAAGACACAAATTGCACCCGGGTGCGGTATGGGAGGGTTTAAGGGAAAGGGTTTCGTTCCTCATTCTGGAATTCCTTGCACGGCGACCTGGCAGGCGAGGAAGGTAGAGCCATCCGCAGCTGTTGCAGATTTGGGGAAAGCCTCGGTTGCGGGTGTGAGGTGTGGCTGGAGGAGGGTTGGAGGGAGGAAGGACCGTGGCTTGTGCGTGGGAGGTGTGGAGGATGGTGTGGCTGGATGGCTGGAGGGTGTGGCTGGAGGGGGTCTTGGCTGGTGCGTGATGTATGTGGCTGCAAAAATGGAGGGGGATGGTGTGGCCGTGGCTGGAGGGGCGTGGGAGCGCTGGGGGAAGAGGAGGTGTGGCTGGAGGAGGGTGGCTGGAGGGGGATGGCTCGAGTCACCGTACATATCCCCCACAGAACCCCAGTTTCCATCTCGTTTCCATTTGCTTCTCCATTGTGGACAGCCTAAACCCCAAACCCTAAACCCTAGAGTAGTTCACATGTTCTTCTCCATTCCCCCTCAACCCTGAACCCCAGAACCCTAAACCCTACACCCTAAACCCTAAACCCAAAAACCCAGACCAGTATAGTAACAACCCAGCATCTGCACAGCTGCGTCTACACGCCGCTTGAAAGGACGCCTGGCAACCCTTCCTGCCCAACATCCAACCATCCAAATTGACCTGGGATTTAGGGTTCACTGGTGCAGGCGTAGAGTTAGGGTTGGGTTCTAGGGTTTAGGGATTTGGTTGTAGGGTTTAGGGATTGGGTTGTAGGATTTAGGGATTGGGTTGTAGGGTTTAGGGATAGGGTTTTAGGGTTTAGGGATAGGGTTGTAGGATTTAGGGTCTGGGGTTGAGCTAGGATTTGGGATCTAATGGTGTAGAGTTTAGGGCTTGGGACGACTTGCGGCTTTGTAAGGGATTGGGGAATCAGGGGCTGGTTCAGGGTTTAAGATTTAGGGTTAGGGTTAGGGTTAACCGTTAAAGGTTTAGAGTTTAGGGCTTAGGGCTTAGGGTCGAACATCCAGCCATCCGAGTCGACCTAGGCAAGGCATTCCAAAAAAACTCAAGGGTCAGGGTTTAAGGCTTTGGCCCCAGTATTTCAAAAAATCTCAAAGTCATCGCCCTCAGGGCTCCTAGATTATTATGTTTAACCAAATGTCCAACCTCCAAGTGGACCTAGAATATGAAAGAAAGCTCACAATTTCGGGTTTCAGGGACAAACTCATCACCCTCACACCTACCACATATTTCACAAAGATCCCAAGATGACTTCGAAAAAACAGCTAGATTCATGCGCCCCGCTGCGTCCTGTACATGTCTCTGCTTTATCCCCTTACACCCATAAACCCCCATATCCCTAAACCCCAAACCCTGAACCTGAAACCCTAACCCCTACAGTAACGGGCCCAGTGGACCGACGGCACACCACAGGCGGCTGTGTGGTGCATGGGGTCCAAAAAGTCCGGTCCTACCTTGAACGGCTGTACTCGAAGGCCTCATGCTCATGGTTTTGGCTTTGGGGTTTAGGATATGGTAGTTTCCCAAAATAAGGGGACCCCAATGTAGACCCCAAAATACTCTAGTCCTTATTATTGGGACCCCCGAAAAGGTACCCCTAATTTTGGGAAACCTCCAGATGATTTAGGCTCTAGGGCTCTGGGTTCACACTTTTGGGCCTAGGATTTGGGGCTTAGCGTGTATGTACTCGAAGGCCCCATAGAGCTACACACCCGAAAGCCTCGCCGACGGAGTGCGACCATCAGACCCACAGCCACGGAAGTCTTGCCTACACCACCTGAACCATAGGGTTTAGGGTTTAGGGGTTTAGGGTTTAGGATTCAGGGTTTAGGATTTAGGGTTTAGGATTACGGTTTAGGGGTCCAAACTCCTCAAAAGGGGTGGTTATATGGGGGACCATACAGGGGACTACTATGGGGAGTATTAAGAGGAATACTAGGAGTTTAGACTATAGCCCAGGGTCTAGGGTTGTAGGGGAGAGGTTTAGGGGTTTAGGGATTTGGGGTTTAGGGATTTAGGGTTTAGGGGTTTAGAGTTCAAGGGGGTTAGGGTTTCAGGATTTCAGGGTTTGGGGGTTTTAAGGGTTTTGGGAAGAACCTTAAACTTAGTTGCTCACACTGCGTTCCCGGAAAAAGGGGCTTGACGGGGATATATCGATTCCAGGACTTAGGCTTTAGGGTTTAGGGGTTTTGGTTTAGAGCCAGGGCTCGGGAAGTGAAACCAAGTTACCATTCCAATCAAACCCTTTAATTTAATGCAGATGAATAATGTGACAACCTAATTCAGGTTCCTGACCAACAGCCGAGCCGCTGTGCACTCCCGCAACAACGACACATGGTGGGCTGGACCATGTCGCCGACTCGTCGTGCAGCGCCATGGCGCGAATGCCATTGCTTGAGATGGAGCAGCTTCAGTCAGAATGGATACGGTTCCGCTTAGGGCCAAATTGGGGGGTGGAGTGCCATATAGGGGGAGGGAGGGGGTCAATGAGCATCCCGATAAATTGCGAATGGCAGGTCTACTGATGGACTCCCTTTTGGCAACCGAACTCGAACTCCCAAACCTCAACCGTCTAGGGTTTAAGTCACCTCTCGCAGGCCAAAGCACAGTGTTGTACCAAGTCAAGTCCACAAATCGGGATCCCGGACATGCCTTGTCAAGATCTTTGAGGAGTTATGTGCGGGCTTCTGAGTGGGGACGCCGCAACGATCCCCTAAGGCTTATTATTAGGTTTTAACTGCCAGTATATTCGGGTTACCCTAAACGCTACATACCACCATAGAACCCCTTTATGAACCCCATAACCCTGTACAGCCCTTATAGCCGGGCTATAGTTACCTTGAACCCCAGATACACATGCGCAGGTGCCTGCCTGCACCACTGGAAGCGCTTTCAGATAGGCCTGGCAGGCGAAGCAGAGAAGAGAACAGAACGGTGTAGGGTTTAAGGTTCAAGGCTCAGGCTTCAGGGTTTCAGGGTTTAGGGTGTAGGGCTCCAGGATTTGAAGGTTTTAGGGTTTAGGCTTTAGGGTTTCAGGGTTTAGGGTGTAAGGCAAGATTGAGAGAAATTGTGACACCTGGAATGCTTTCCGTGCAGCTGCACTTGACCCACCGGGTGTGAAAAGCAGGCTACACCCTAAATCCTGAACCCTAAACCCTGAACCCTAAACCCTAAACTCTAAACCCTAAACCCTGAAC